ATTCAAAATGAACGTTACCTCACCACAATGTAAAGTGTTAGTTTCTTCCAGGCAAGAAGAAGGTTTTACGAAAAAGTGACGCATATGCTTGCTTCAAAATTGGAGCGCCTTTGATAAAACTGCTCTTGTTTTCAAAAACAGTTTTGATTGTCACGGAAGGTGTGATTAAACAGTGGAATTAAAAACAAATCTTCATTTCAACCACATTGAAAAACATCCTTAAAAGAATCTGAAAAATAAGAAGAATTTATTTAACAGTTTATCTAATAAGAAGAGTTTATCTAACAGTTTACCTAACATGAAGCAATTTTTCACAGAAGTTGATCACCAACATGTGAAACGACAAACAATTTTTGTTTAAGATTTTGATTTAAAAAAAGCCTTTTTGGTAAACGAACATTCCCCTTTAGATTTTGTCAGATCCTTCTGCTGATAGAAACGGAATCTCATACCTCATAGAAATCGCGTGACGAAAGTGACTACAAACAAAAAGAGCAGGCAGAGGAGACATGGAGATTCTCGAAATTTACGAACAAAAGATTTGGGTGACTAGAAAAAGAGTGTTATGCAGTTAGTTGACAAAAATTCCGTTATTTTATTGATGAGGCTCTCATTCTTACCATCAATCATTGTTTAAAAGACAAAAATGAATTGTGCCAAATTCCTGTTTGAATGAAGTCCCTTTGTGAGCCCACCGTGGTGCTACGGTAGCGCAAGCTGAAACGCCGGTCGATATCGTATATGAAAGCTGCACGATAGTCAAAAGCTGTGTGAACACTCTCCGTCTCGTCCAAAATAAAGATCCGAAAAGCTCTTCTCTCCCCTCTTTTGATGTGTTTTACAAGTTAATCAAAACCTTGTTTCTTAATTTTTGCAGTCTCATTTTGTCCATTTTGATGCAGGCTTATGGAATTTATTGGCGAAAAATTATTAAATCGTAAGGAAAAGTCTAAACCTAAAAACACATATTAAGGTGAAAGTTTTGTTGTGCGTGGCATCATTCCTTGCCATATTTTTGCGTTTATGAGCTAACTTTTATGTCACTAATACATTTCATCTCTTAATAGTTGGCAAAATATGCATATTTTCTGTTTTTTCATCTCCGTGAGTGCCTTCTCTCATTCGCTAGTGTATTATTAAGTCGATAAAAACTATAATCAAGGCACATTACAGGTGACTAAATTTGTTTCTGCTGTCATTAATCACTCATTCTCCCACTCGATAATTGCTTTTCAAGTATAGATGAAAAATTCAATGTTTCTCTCTAAAAATTCTCAAAAATTATTCTCCATCACTTTCTGACTTGCCAGATTCACAAATTGGATATGTAGGCCTTCTCTCTTTTAATTCCTTATATTCACCATCTATTATTTTTTTTTTCAAACTGCTAATAAGCTTGCATGATACATTTGAAACAAAATTATTGCACCCCCGATAAGTTTCCGATAATAGAATAAAAGACACGAGGACATTTTTCAGGACTATTTTCAATTCTAATTTTTAGTTGGCTGCGTCTTACGTGTGTAATATTTCGCTCTTACTGTAAAGTTCGTGCAGCAGGCAAATTCAAAATTTCTTTTGTCAATCTTCCTCCTCCTCGTATTGCGTTTGTCGTCTTCATACATTTCTTCAAACAGTCATTTTTCTTCTTATCGGACAAGCCTTCTACACTCTTACATACCCAACCCTCCTCTTCCTTCCCATCTCTCGCTATTTTTTGACGGTCCTCTCTGTTTCTGTCGTCGTCGTTTTCGTCGGTTCTCTCCTTTCTAAATTCGCCTCGAAAAGGCGCATGCGTCCTTTTCAACACGACTACCCTGCGTCTCTCATTTAGGCTGCCTCTCTGAGCGCTCTGACCGGCAGTGACTGCCACAACCTCTATTCAGGTGCGCGCTCTTCACTGTTGCTGTGGCAAAAAGATGGATCAATATCAATGCGGCGCGAGAGACGGTGAAGGTAGAGAAGAAATATACAATACGTAGGCAGGAGAGACGACAGAAAAGAGAACGAATAACAGGAGTTTAGAGGAGTCGCAGGGGACGAGATGGTTTTATGTGCGCCCTCTTCTTCTCCGCTCTTCGCTTTGAATTCGGTTTTCTTCTTCGTCTCGTCTCCCTTTTCTTCCCTTTTTTTCTAACCGGCAAAAAAAATAATGGAAATTACTTTCGATTAAATGAAAGATCGTATAACTGTATTAGTAAAGCATCACGACACATGTATTTTACAACCGTTTCCCTTTCTCGCTACACGTTGTGTTCATGGATTTTTTAGTCAATTTTAATAATCGAAGGTTTTGTATCTTGCTCGGAGAGTTTCACATGATTCATCACTAATTCCTCAAATTATCTCTACATCAAAGCATTTTTTAGGATGGCCGAGTTTTTGAAAACCTCGGCTCAAACAGCAGTTCTTCCATACGCAAACGTAAGCGAAATTTTCTAGTTAAGATCAGAAAAAAACGAAAAAAAATAATTGAGGAGGAAATAAAAGGTTGTTCGTAAAATGACTAAGGAACTCTGTCTGTTTGAAAGAGCTTGACAACAAAAATTTTTTGCCGCTTGTTGCATCTTTTTTTAATTACCATTCATTAATACGTCAAATTTTTCTCAGAATTTCTACTCAATTCTCTTATCAATTACAGGATTCTAACTCTATTGTTCTGATCACTTCAAACCAGTTTTTCACTTTTTCAAATGCCAGCTAAGAAGAAAGATCCACCAGACGGACGTAATGTCCCTCCAAGTGCCAACACGATGAACTTTGTGAACCCAGTTTATCAGAATCAGTGGCCTACACAAGCTCAAATGCAACAAGCCCAAATGGCAGCAGTGGCTGGCCACTTAGCAGGTAAATCAAAAAAATAGTTTAGTCGCTTGTGAAAGTTGAGGAGATGGAAATAAATTTTCAAAAAATATCGAAATTTTAATACTTTTGTGAGATCGGATAATCCGGCGGGTCAAATTTGATCAGGCTGGTTAAATGTAATACTTTAGGTTTAGAGAATCCAAGAGTGCCTCCCGGACTTGTACGGGAAAACGGAGGACAACGTCATGATCATCATCAGAACCAGCTGCAGCATCAGCAACATATTCAGCAACTTCAACAGATTCACCAACAACAGCAGCTGCAGCAGCTGGAACAACATCGCCATCACCATCTGCAGCAAAAAAATTATCGGGACCAACAACTTCAACAGGAGCACCAGCAGCAGCTTCATCAACAGCAACAGAGGCAGCAAAATCAGCCGAACCAGCAAACTCCACTGCAGCAACTACAACACCAGCTTGATCGAAAAGGTAACATTTGTTTGGAATCACACTGGTAGCGGGAACGTAACAAATATAGACGTTTCTTTTCAATTTTCAGTTCAAAACAATCAATCAATAGGGTCATCGTCAGGACTTGGTGACACGATCATCAATAAAATGGCTCGTGTAAGAACGCAAAACTTGCAATCTACGCCACCGACAAATGCTTCAAGACGTCATAATGAACCGACGGACCCTCGTCTTAATGCAATCCCTATCGGTCGAAAAGAGACCGCTCCCCCATGGACAGGAAACAATGTCAGCAGACGTGGGCCACGAAAGACTTCTCATCGGGCCTTAGAGAATGAGGAGGTGAGTCGAAAAGGGAACCCAAAAACCTTTTATTGATTTCTGTTGTTGCCGACATATTGAATTCAGAATTGACTGAAACAACGATATTTTCCAGCAAGCTCACGTTGGTCAAACGGATGCTCCAACAGATCACACGCTAGAGATTCCAGCTGAAATTCTGAACCAAACTCGTTTTCAACAACAACAAGCAAACCAACTTCCACAAAATATAGGAATACATCCACCTGGCTTTGGGTCAGCAGCACGTACTCATCCTCTCTCTGCGTTGCGGCATCATATGCCAGCAGTCACTCAGGCTTACACTATTACTGTAAATCAAAACGAGACAATTCTGAATACTAAAAATGCAAATGTTCAAGTAACTCGTAACGCGCAGACACCTTCAATTGTGAAAATTGAGGAGATGGAAATAAAACAAGAAGTAGATCACGAGTTGGATCAAGCAGAATTTTTGCTAAATACTTTAGCAATATATCAACAAGCTGTCACAGCGGCGCAACCCGCGGATGGAAATCCACGCGTTCCAGTCACACCTGAAACGCCAATTTTATCTGATCAACTTCGTGCACGTATTCAATCGCAAGGTATTTCTACTTACGTAAACTTGGTTCACTATCTAACTAGTCGAGGAAAACTATACAATTTTCCAGAATATGCTGAGCTGTCATTCTCTGATTTACTTGCAACCGCTTCCAACCAACTTGCGATCGATCCGAGCACATCTGCCACTCTTTCCAACGACCACCAGCCAAGTGAGCCAACTACACCGAGTAAACGTGTGGAAGGGGGCGGACTCCCACCACCAACTGTCAGAAGGCCGAGAAAAACAGCTCACAGAGAAGAGGAGATGGGGATACAATCTGGTAATCAAAAGAAAGAAGAAAACCCGACTTCATTACCTGCGCTTGGAACACACATCAAGGTAACAAGGGGTCGGAAACCGAAGCTGGGAAGAGAGAAACCTGTCAAAGACCCGAATAATCCACAAAGAAAGCGAGGCAGGCCCAGCAAAGCTGACATTATGCTGAAAAAAATCAAGAAAGAAGAACCAGGATGGAAGGAAACGACGATCAACCGTTCTACACATAATGCTAATGCTTACGAACCGCCATTGGTGAACAATCCCCTTCCATCTACATGTGTTCCTCCAGTTGCTCCATCACCAACAAGAGCCGCAGTGAACGTTCCAAAATCGGTCAGAAGTCTCCCAGATTCAAAATCAGATCATGGAGTTTTGTTACCTGTTCCACCAGTTGAGCTTTCAATCGAACAACAACGAGAAGAATGGGATAGACGACTTCTGGAAAATGCACTCATCGATGGGGCCTTCCAAATGTTTGGGACGTTTCGAATGCTACTTTGAGTGCGGAACAGAATGTTAAACGAGCTGAAGTTATTCGAACCCATAGGAAACAGCTCGCAAAATCAAAATCGGACTTGAAAAATAAAATCAATTCTGAGCATAACCGCTTTGCAAAATGTTTGGAATCGTCAGGGAAATGTGATGCGACATTATGGCACACAAAAATGATGGCTTTGGAAAATCAAATGATCAAAGAGGATGACGAGAAGCGACGAGCGAAGTTCATGGAAGGACTACATTACCGTAGAGACTACAATTCAACGAAAAAGATCGCCAAGCAGGAAGTGAATAAATGGACGGATGATATGATTGTTGATGTAGCACCCACCTCACAAACCAGACCAGAAATAAAAACAACAAAAACATATACTGCGAATATCTCGAATGTGGCCAATCCAAGATCCCAAGACGTTACTAAAGTGTCGCAATTCAAACGACCACTTCTACCTACAGTTTCACGATATGCTGACTGGACAGACAGACAATGGAATCAGCTGAACTCAATCTGGAAATTCACCGCGTTTGCCCCAATCGATATGACAAAGACCAATGCAGAGGGACGCCTTCAAGACGAGTTTTGGAGTACATATGAGCCTGTGACCACAAAAATGGACGAAGTAGAGCGTATTGGAAAATGTTTTTCAAAAAAGTTCGATACAATCACATTAACGGTATATCGCTTTTTGAATTTTCTAAACTAATGCTTCATTTTTCAGTTCTACCCACAACAAGTGTTCTATGGAGAATTTGAGCTTGACGTCACACATGCGACCTCTCTGACTTTCATATTAGACGCTACTCAACCAGGATTTGAGTTAAGGATTGCGTCAGATAGATGTGAAAAGTTTGACATCGCCGTTGTAAAAAACTTTACGGTTAGTTATGCAGCGTTTCAAGAACTCGTTGGAAATTCAAAATGTGCATTATTTTTATAGTTTGCACATCTGCCTGTTGGTTTTCAGATGTCCCCTACTGCAAAGAACAAATTCCCACCATGTCTCATTCTCGACGTTTCTGATATTCATGAAAAAATCAAGGAGCTTTCCCCAAAATTTAATAAATTTCGACGTTCTTTGTTGCAACAGGAATGCTCTACTCAAAAATGTCATCCTGAGTACGTTCTATAAATTTTCAAACCTTTTAGAAAAGCTAAACATTTATTTTCCAGTAAACTATTCTTCGTGCTCCACTCAAACCCCAGTTTTCCAAAGAGTCAGTGTACCATAAAAGTACATGTGAATAGCAGTGTTAAATTGTTTGAAGTGTCGGCAATGGCAGGATTTGAAATTTTGGAGACTTACGTATGCCCACAGGGAATATATACAAAAAATAACAAACATATTTCAGATGCAATTAGCCTTTGCTCTACATCCAAAGATGATCAATTTGAATATTCGATTTCGTAAGTCAAACCTAGAGTTGTTATTTCCAAGCTATGCTTTCAGTTTTCTTGATGAAAGAAGATTTCTTTGACTACGTGACACACCTCCGACTGATTTGGATTTTTTTGGCCAGCGAACATGGAATCGGAAGATGGCTTGCAAAGTGTCGAGAAGATCTTGTCACGGCTTGCGAGTCAAACTTTGTGGAACTAGATTTTCGTACAGGGTATGTAAACTCTCGGAATACAAATTTTATTAGCTTAGATTGAATAAAATACCACAAATTATATTATTACCTCTCTCATGACAACTTTTCAGAAATGCCTACTGTCTTTATCCTCCCACACATTGCTCCCGATCACTCCTGCGAGAATCTAATGTAAGAAATCTATCAAACAGCGATGTGCAAAATACTCTTATTCAGGGATGCTTAGATGAGAGCTCAGCGTGTGGAGAAGCTTTCCCAATTCAATTCCGCGATTATGGTCAAGAGGAACTAGACGAGATAAAGCTGCAGAATGATAATGCAGCACAAGGGAAAGAATGGAAAGGATCATCAGTTACGTCTGATTTTAAAAAAACTCCAGGCAGTAAGAGGGCACCTACACCTTCCACAGAAGGAACCAGCGATCCCAAAAAGATAAAAATTTTCAAACTTCGGAAAGACTGGAAAGATGCTATCGCTTTCCCTAGGACTGACTCGGCTGTTCAAGATTCGCATTCAGACGGAGCTGATGATTCGCAACCGTCCACATGCAGCAAGGAAACAGCTCCAGCAATCAAATCAGCTTCGCAGAATGGAGTCCATGAATATCAACCACAGTCCAGTTACTACGATCCAAACGTTTCGACAACCGGCTACGATGGTTCTCTCCCATCATCATCGTCTTCAGGTGAAAACAAACGATACTATGACTTTGATAACTGTCCAGTTGATATGATGCGACTGTCACCGTCTGATAAACTTTTGGCGAGTTGTCAAAGATCCCAAAAGGACGATGGAGTGTTTAAGCGTCCTTATCTCAAATTACCTACTCCCCTTACAAACCGCACTCCATCTACTTCTAACGGAAATACACCCACTGTGATTCCACTCCCCCCCAGTTCAGCATCAAATCGGCCATGATGAATTAGTTTATAATAATCAAAATAGAGCCAACAATGATCCTGCCGAGTGAATATATAATGATCTCCTGCGAAATGATTCATTCAATTTATTTTATCACGGGTGGGCACAATTTCTTATTTGATATCTATAAATATTGTTCTTTTTTTTTATAAATGAAGCTTATCTCATTCATGACGTGTCACATCTTTTTCACCCATCTGACCATGTTTTTTTCTTCAAGTTCTAATTCATGTTTCTATTATGTTTTCTTGAAAGGATTTTCATCCACTTCTTCTTGATTCATAGCCGTTACGTTTTTCTCTCCTAATTTTTGGTTGTTTCAATACAGTTAACAATCGAAACTACATTCATTCAACGGCAAAGTAAAACACCTGGTGAAAAAAAATGACCGGTGAAATAGGTGAAACAATTATCGAACCAATTAACCAATAAAGAAACTAAACTCGGTAGGGAACACGATGAAAGCAACCTAAACAACAACAAACAGTTCATTTAAACAAGTCGTTGCTTGAAGAAACAGGAAGAACTGCTAGCAGTTTTTCTCAAAGATGTCGTTTTTGATCTGAAACATATGGCTGCCACTACAGAATAATTACAGTCAACTTACTTAGAAGGTTTAGACAGAATTCTCTTAGTCAGTTTCTTATATAGCTGCTGGCTTTCAAATTCTTCAGCGAATTTTGGATCATCCATAGCTGCATAATTATCAGGATCGCACAACTTATTCGATACACTCAACGCTCGAGCGCAACTGAAAAAGTTTTTATACCCTCCATTCAGAACGTAAATCTCCTCATAGGCACATTGAGGATACATTTCTGGATGGAGGAACCGATCAGTTGATCGTAGAGTATCAGCCATGCGTGGACCTCTTTTTTGACTGTATTCACAGAAAAAAATTGGTGTCGTGTCTGATTTTCTATTACCATCTTCATCGAAAAAAGTTTCGCGCGCTTTATCTGGGTCATCAAGATTTTTAGCACCCTGAAAAATTGTATATTATAAAATTCACTTCGGTCACCATTCGGTCACGAGTCGGTCACATAAAAGTTCAACACTTCCATAGTAATTTGCAGGACCAGTAAGATTTTGAGAGCCAAATGAGCGTTTGAAAGTTTCACATTTTCAATTGCTGAATGTTTCGCAAAAAGACAACAGAATTTCAAAAACAGCTATGTTTTTTCTACTTGACACTGTTCAAAAACCTCACAGACCTTTTGAATGTCTTCATTCGGTGTTTGTGCAGTTTCAGTGTGTAGATTGTGTATTCAGGTATTCCGATTCTCATGCCGACGTCGGTTCATGATTGATTGATTTAGTATTTCGTATTTTTTACATTTCCAATTTTTCAAATTATTTTTGAAGTGGAAAAAATCAGGATTTTTCTTAATTTCGAAATCTTCACCAAAACTTTGAACCAAAAAAGTAAACGCGATTTGTTTAAAAATAAATAAATGGAAAATCATCAAACTATTTGGTACGGCAAAACACATGTTGAAACATTTTTCTTATTCATATTATCAAACCATTCAATTTTTTTTGGTTCCCATATACTACCTCTGTTTAAACTAACCTTAATACTACCTCCATTAAATTCGTAAGAGAATCTACAATCATAAAGCGAATATTTCTTCGCAAACTCCTCTTCTGTCATTTCCAACATGGTTCTAATCAATACTTGAGGAGAAATTTTTCGATACACAGCTGAGCATCTTGTTTCAGTCGTTTCCAACTGATACTTCACCTGCAGGTGTGCTCCACTGGTCTCGATTTCAGATGTAGAGTGGCTTTTTCGTGTGAGAAGCTTTTGCTTTGCCATTTGGGCTTGTTTTTCTTCGTTATTAGGAATGTATCCACCGTTTAAACTGTCTCGTTTGCTTGTTGAAGAACACGTAGATGTTGCCTCTTCTTCAGAAGGTGAAAGTTGTGCTTCAGAAGATTCGTATTCCGTGAGCCGCTCAAGTTCAACTACATTTGTTTCTTGAATGTTGTTTTCGTCAATAACGCAGATATCATATGAAATATCACCGGGCATCTGGAAGATATATTGATTAAAAAAAAGAGAATTAAAAATTTCAAAAAGAACATAGACGACTTAAACATGAATAAACATATAAATGTGATCCTTGTTCGAGTATATATAGTCCTCTTCAGCCACCCCTTTACCTCTCAACTCCGCCCCTCTCCACCCACTCAAGACAAAAAATCTCCGTTCCTCTTCACGTTGTCAATCAAATTGAGAATGACAACGAGGAAAACTTGACTCACACAGGTTACGATCTAACTAAGGATGAAGTGTGTATCTCACTTGGCTAATTAGAGGAAATTTGATTTGGGTCCTCTCTGTTGGTCTCAACGGTCCTGCACCCTGTCTATAATACATCAGTTTATTGCGCAACCGGTAGCACATTTACAACCTCTATTTACAACTTCATCTGGTACAATTGAACATAAGATGATTTTCAGAAAAATAACCATTCAAATTTGGGCTTTTTATGATTTAACAGGAATTCAAAGAATGGACGGGATTTGGAGAATTGACGGGGGTTTTCAGAAGGTGTAAGGGTCATAGTTGGGAAAGTTTGTAAAGTCCCCGAAATGTTTCATAGTGCTACAGTTTTTTGTTTAGCAAATTGGTATATTAAGCCTTAAAGATAAACTAGTTGATAGAGCACATATGACTTGGGTACATTTGCTTGTTAAATTCGAGGTTGTAACTAGCAGAAATATGTAGCTTGTCTTTATTTTTTGGATGTTCTAGATTAAGGAAACAAGGCGTTCCAGCCTAACCCTATAATCTGCAAAATTTTCCTAAATCCAAAAGTTGTCTCCTTTTTTTTCGAACTAAAAACTTATCGTAAAACCTGTATTAGAAGGACCGGCCCTTCTATTTTTTGAAGATATGAAAAATAGTCTTGGGCCAAATCAAATGGAAATTTTGATATGAAAATGCTTTCCTCAGATTTCTAATTTTACGAAAAATAGAATAAATTTTTTGAGGAAGATTTTTGTCAATCGTAAGCTTAAGCTGAAAGCTGTTAAGTTTTCAGTTTTCTTCATCTGGAACATTTGAAAAATGAAATCAAGTTCCATAACTTTGCTGGACGTTAACTGGAAGTTTTTTATTTTCAGATATGTCTGAAAAATTACGTTCTGTGATTCTAGAATAGTGCCAAAAAATTTAACAATGAGAAAAAAAAGGAAAAATGAATGCAGAAAATAATAAATCAACAGAAATAAGCACTTTAGAACATTTTTTACACTTCCCTAACCAAAACCCTGACACATTCTGAAAACCCCCTTTAATTTTCCAAAACGTTTTGACACAAGTTTTTGGGATGGTTTCTATTTGGTCAATGCTTTAAAACTAATTTTAAAAATTCTAATTAATGACAATTTGGTAAAATTTGCTTTTGAAAATTTGCGAAATCGTTACGAAAAGTTTTCGATTGAAAAATTACGCCAATCGGGTCTCTCTTTCAAATTTCTTCACACTATTCTTCTAATGTAAGCTTACACACTATTTTAAAGGGCACGTAGGTGAATGAAAAGTGATAGATCAAAACGAGCAGAACATACAAAAACCAACACACGTTTTTATTCAATTACTGAGACATTTTTCTTGAAATTTGCAGTTGTAGTCTATGACTCGCAACTTTGGAATTTCATCTGAATATTCGTTAGTCAGCACTCGTCGCACTTCCAAGTCGGAATATTGATATAACCCACACAAACAGTTTTGAATATTGTTCATAGAACTTTCCATATCATCAAAACTGGTTGAGAACTCGATAAATCAGAGTTTTCCTGAACAAAACATATAATTTTCCAAACTAGAAAACAAGTTTTTGAAATGGTTCAATCCTCCGTTGCAGAAGAAACAGGAATGATATCTGAACTTCCAGATATATCTTTTAAAATAAAAACAACGTTGAAAAATTCAACTTGAGAACGAAATTCCGAATATTCTCAAAGGGAAAAAATGCTGATTTATTATTATTTTGTTGGAGCTGAATCAATTAACTTTTGCTCAACTGACAAGGGAACATTTTAAGTGATCCCTCTAATTTGCCCAAACTAACTATACAGAATGAAAGAGAATGTTTGAAAAGCTATAAAATCGTTTTTAAAATCTGCTTAAGAGACCTCGAAAGTACTGATATTTCAGTTTCCGTACCAAAAAATCACTTTTCCAGTGTTAAATCTGCAATTTTCAAATTTGATTTTCTTCACTCCCAGGAGGTTTTAGAATCTGAAACGTTTTGTGTTATACATAAAATCATAGTTGCGAAATCTCGGGCCGCCCGGGGTACATACATTTTTTTGAATTTTTCTCGAAAATTTTGAAATTTTTCCAATAATTTAAACAAAAACGACCTGTTTTCCGACTACTTTCTACTTTATTAATTTCGTTAAACGAAGTAACCTTTTTTCTTTTTTAACTCAAAAAGTTATCCAAATTTTCATTGCAAAATTTTCAACTGTAGTAGACGTGCCGGCCCGGGCCGGGCCGAGCGAATTCGTCTACCGGCCCGGCCCGGCCTTTCGCAACTATGCTTAAAATTGTGTGGAATTTTATATTTGTACATTTTTTTCTCAAAAAAGTTATGAACTCAAAAACTTGAGATCATCCAAAGTGTAAGCAAATTTTGAAAGTTTCCAAAACTTTTCTGGAAACAATTTTTTAAGAAAAAATGTGAAAATATAAAATCCCACACAATTTTAAGTATTACACAAAAAGCTTCAAGTCCTAAAACCTCCTGGGAGTGAAGAAAACCAAATTTGAAAATTGCCGATTTCATACTGAAAAAGTGATTTTTCGGTACGGAAACTGAGATTTCAGCACTTTCGAAGTTTTCTAAGCAGATTTTGAAAACGATTTTATAGGTTTTCAAACATGCTATTTCATTCTGTGTAGTTAGTTTAGGCAAATTAGAGGGATCACTTAAAAGGTTCCCTTGTGAGCCTGCCAATATTTTCTGGTTTCAAGTCAATTCATATAAAAAAACGATATATTTTGGAAACCGTGTTTTTTTCTACTAGACATCCACTCTATTTGTGCTCTCTAAGCTTAATCCTCTCGGTAGTTGTGAGAGATATTAAAAATTTGTCAACTGACAGAATATCAGTGGTATTATGATAAATAGTTAATAGACTGAAAATATTAGGTTATCTTTTGAAGGAACCAAGAAAATTTTGCTCAAAGTTGACGGTGTCGGAAGATTTCTATTAAAGGAAATACGGTGTTACATCTCTACTCATTTGATTTCTATCAAAGGTCCGTTCTCATACATGAAATATTGAGTATTTTGAACAATACAAAACAAAGGTCTTTTTTTTCTCACGTCCAATTCACAGCAGGTGGGATTCGCAGTAGATTACAATGAAACTCTAACGGTTGCCCCCGTCAACTGAGTACATAATTAATATGATGTGAAGAGACAGACTGTTTCTACTGTTTTTATAATAAATTGCTTTGTATTGCCTGAATGTGGGAAAAGAAGTGTTTCATGGGGAAACTTATGATAGTGCTCAATAAAATTTGCACACCAAAATGCAGACTTTTATCCCAGTCATCTAATGTTTTCTTCAATTCAATGTTGACATAGGTTATGAGAAATTCCTTTCAAACGTATTTGACAATGTTTCGATAATGATCCTTCGATAAAGATCCTAGTTTTACCTGATGTTTACAGGAATTTTAAGAATAACTAAAAATATTTTAAAAAATTAAGTATTTTCCACCATCAGTGAGAACAATCTTATTTTCCCGAAGATGTGGTGAAATGTAGTCATCACTGAACAGATATCGATATTTATGATAGGCCTTTTCTTTGTACATTAGCCAGAAAGTGTTCCACGACTCTCGACTACGGAACGGAGGAAAAAGAGAGAAATGATACGGGACCGTTGATTAACATGCGTAGGGTAGCAGATGAACATTGTACCTTGGTACACTGTCAAGACCTTGGTACACTGTCATTGATGACTTCTGTGATACTCTGAATAAGTAAGATTGTAGTACTTAAACAAGTTTTAATTAATTTTGTTAGATTTCGATGCCAATGGAAAAAGTAGATTTTTGCAACACATATTTTCCGCAGACCAACAATAACGGAAGAACACAAAGTTGTTTACAACAATCTCATATGATTGAAAACATGTTTCTCGCGACAAACTGTAGCGCGATTGGTTGTGCTAGTCATAAATGTTTGACCGACCTTTCATGCTGATGCCAACCCGTTTCGTCTAGTTGTATGGAAGAAATCACGTTCTTTGTACCAAAAACATTTTGTACAACGCGCATTACGGGTTACGAAAAAGCATAAGTTCAAGTTCGTGTTAAAAAGCAACGCATTCTCTATTGAGTTGAGAATAAGGGTCACTTCCAATAACACATAAATTGCATTCAATTCATAAACCATGCATTGACACCAATTAAGTTGGAAATCAAGTTGCAAAATGTAGTTTCAACATCAGGCCTGAAATGATCCGAGTTTTCTAGTACAGTAGCTCCAATTAAAAGTGATCTAGGTTAGTGTAGCAGCCGAAACCTACGATTCTAAGAAGATTGAAAACCACGGAAGTCTGAACAACATATAATACTACCGCAGTCAACGCAGGACTCGAGTTTGCACATTTTATACTTTTTATATTATTTCAATATTTTAGGGGTTTTTTCACATGTCTTGAAGACAATTCCTCTCCGAAATTCGGTTCCTGGTTTTTATTCAACGTTACACACGCACGTCGTGATGTATCAAGCTCCGCCTTTCCGGAAATTCATGGTCTGCCTCCTCCCAGAAGAATCTCGTTAGGAAGGAGCTCGTCTTCATTTCATTCCTTCTCGGCTCCGCTCCGTTTTTGTGTGAAGCTCTACTTCTGTGTGCTCAACATCAACAATGATCTTCAAGGCGTTGATATTCATTCTGGCAATTTGCCTTGTTCCTTCTGTACTCACTTTAGGATCACTGACACCATCCGCTGCGTTTAGGTGAGTGAAAGTGAAGTTGTGCTGGAACAGAACCGTTTATGAATATCAAGACATTAAAAAATTAATTCATTCTGAAAATTGCAATAAGAGAGTATAAAAGCTAGTTAAGGGGATCTCACTGAGCGTAAGCTTCCAATATGAGCTTATATTACAGACAAAATTATGTGTCTATAATTAGCTTTCCCGATCGTATTGTTTTCAGTACGTGTGTCCCATCCCATGGCGAAAATGCAAATGTTTCTTATAATTGCTCTGAGCTCGTTCAGAGAAGTAACAAGATGAGCCAGACTGGAAAGATATAAAAAAACAAATGCTAATTTTCTGGGCAAAGAATACAGCCAACTAATTTTATTGCATCACGCAACGTGCATTTGGTCTATACTAGAATCATCGTTAGCGTATCTGAAGACGGAAAAAATCATTGAAAGAAAACCAAATCTAATTTTCAACCCTCTCGATTCGGGCTTCTTGTGTCTTCTATATTATAACTGCGTTGTAAAAATGTCAGTTTGTGAAAAGAAAAATCCGTTGCTGTTTTTTGGTGTGCATTTAGGAACACTTTGTGAATTTTAATATGAATATGACCCAGCAATCGGGTCTATAGACAACTTCTACACTTTTAGAGCCAACATGCAGCAACGTCATCGTTCACCAAACTCGCTTTTCTACATGAACGATGCGCCAGCAGGACAGTTTTTGGACGAGTTGAAGCAGCCGATCTACAAACGCTTCAAACCTTGTTATTACTCTCCAATCCAGTGTCTCATCAAGAGAAAGTAATTGAATCTGTCACATTTAAACTCCGACCGTTTTACTTTATCTAGTTACTTTTTCTTGTAAAAAATGACGTGACCGTCCCAATAAAGTGATACTCTGTTATTTCAAAGTTTTATTATACAGATACAAAAAACATTTCTTCAAATCACATCTCTGAGAGTATTGACAACACATATCACCGAGTATTGAACAGTTGAAATTTGGTTGATGATTTCTCGCAGATTTTTCTTTGATGGGGATGTCTCGTAGCTATGAATCTGAAACCAGAAATTTTAGGCAGGAATTTTAGGAAGCTCATTCAAAACTAAGACTCACCGCATTTTGAATTCCAGCCATCAGAGAGTTTGAGTAAGAGTCCGAATCACTGACCGAGAACAAAACATGTCTTGCGGAAGGATTGTGTTTGGATACCCCTCGTGGATTGATAAAACATCTTTCAGTGCTGAAAAAAATAAATAACTAAAGTTGTGAATTTCTCATATCATTTTTTCTCCCATAAGTTTCACGTCACCTGATTAGTCTCTCGTTGACAGCATTGACATGTTTTGCATCATATGGGTTCTGAGAAAAGCTGTGAAAAGTGAACTGCATCGTTTCTTGAAATTTCTTCGACATTACTAGCAAGTCTTGAGAACTTTTGGACAAAAGCGCATATTGTGTGCGAATACTTTCAAAATCAATTCTAGAAACGTTAATTCCTGAAATCGAAGCTTTCAATTGGGGGAGATAGCTTTTTATCATAACAGAGGCTAAGTTTGTTGTGTTCATTGGAAGAACAACCTCATCCGCAAACGTCCTGAAACAATCAATAATAGATCAGCAAATTTTGATCAACCTCACTTCGCTAATTCTGCCCAATACTGACCAATTGCTCTGTGTACTGCAAGGTCCTCGGTATCCATCAGATGGATGTTTGTGAATGGTGTCTCGTACATACTATGATACAATGGGTAAGTATCGAAAGTAGTGTAATTTTTGTAGTTGAAGTTAATGACAGGAACACCAGCAAAGTTCAAAAACGGTGCATGGTCAGATCCACCTCCAGGAACACGAATTTTTGGACGACCCGCTTTCTTTTCAGGGAAAACTTTCATCCAAGTATCGTACACTGTGTTTCTTCCCCGTGATCTTTCTCGTTTCGAAGGATTTGGAACGTGTTTTGCTGCTTCAATCGCGATATGCTCCAGAGTGGGAACTGTGTCGACATGTCTGTAATTTTACGCCACACTAAAATTGATGTTGTTCAGAAAACAAAAAACTTACAAACTTGCGTTCCCTTGAATACAATCCATGTTGATATAAACTACAGCACGTTTTTGCAGAACATCAACAAATTCTTCAACGAATTCAGTCGAACCAATTAGACCAAACTCTTCCGCATCCCATGCGTTAAACACAATGGTACGTGCTGGAATACATACATGTGAATGGCCGGGCTGGGCCGGGGCCGGGCCGGGCCGGCCCGCTTGCCTCAAAACTTTCGGNNCGGCCCGGCCCGCTCGGCCCGCCTAGGACAACTTTTCGAAAATTTTATTTTTCGAATGTGCCAAAATATTTATAATGGCACAAATATTAATCCAAATGCATACAACCATCCGAAAAAGTCAATTTAATTGAATTTTTAGCAAAAAAATCTACCTTCATTAAGCCAAGAATGGAACTTTTTTTCTAATTACGACTTCAAATCAGTTTTTGTCGACAGTATCGGCCTCTAGTGTGGATTTTCATTCACTAAGAAGAAAAACCATCTTGAAAAATGATAATTCGCTCTAAAATTTCAAAATTTTCAAAAAGCGGGCCGGCCATGTGAAATTAAAAAAAAAAACAAGTATGCTGGAATAGAATTTTCTAGTAAAATTTCTAGCAACTTTTAAATTAATCTAACAAAAAAAAAATAAAACGTCATGTTCTATTAGAATCAGCTTCTATTTGCACTTTGAGCTAAATTATCTCAACTTCTATGATATCAAAAATTTGTAAACAAAAAAAATTTTGGTGATATTATGAGAGTTATTTTATCAGTTGACAGATTTTTGACATCCCTAATAGGAACCGAGATAATTAAGCTGAAACATTCTATTGTACCATTTACGTTGTGCGAAAATTTCTAAACTGACCAGGTCTCCAAGAAGTTTCATTAATGGTTTGCATCATTGCTCTTGCTACTTCGGCTAAAACAGCTGTTCCAGAATTGGGGTCAATTGATCCGTACACCCACGCATCGAAATGGTTTCCGAGCATAATATAACGATCGGGCTCTTCTGCACCCCGGATGTATCCAATCACATTTCGAATTCGTCTGCAGAAAACCTATTAGTTTACGCATTCATTGAACGTGATAGCATGTCACAATTTTCTAACCGATCTGTTTTCGAATATTCGAATTTTGTTTCTGTGATTCTATTTCCATACATATTTCGAACTTTTTTAGTGATTTCTGTTTCAAGAACTTCTTCGCAACATTTTCACGCTAGCACAATGACTTAATTTTTGGTTCACTCGTTCCAATTATTAATTTCGGCAAAATAAAGTTTTATTATCCTGCTCAGGACTTTGTCGAGTATAATGACATCATTCACGCTTTTTCACTCCCCTCTTCACTTCTTCAACAATCTCAAATCAAATTTGCGTTTCTTTTGCCACTAACTCACTTGGTCTTCAGCTCACTGTGCACATTTATTGTCAATTTCTCGCCATTCACAAAGCCCGGACCAAGTTTATATGTGAGATTCCCTCCGACAAATCCTGAAAACTTTCGTCTCGATATTGGCGAAAACTAAAAATAGAAAACCTTGCCAATCCGAGGGAACTGCACGACCCGACATTCTTTTCAACAACTGGAGGGCTGTGGTGTACGATACCGGAAGTACTGGAATAGAAGGAAGCGTTCCATCGTCTTTTGCCTGGGAAATCAATTACCGTAAAACCTCTAATAGAACGACACCCGGATTGTCCACTTTGAGCCTATATATCTCATTTTCTGTGAAAGATATCAAAAAGTGGCTAACTAGTAAAATGTTGCTGATATCCTGATAAACATTTTACTAGTTAACCACTTTTTGATATCTTTCAAAAGAAGT